ATATTTTCGCCTGCCCAGGCCTCTATGCTCTCTCGAAGCTTGTCCAGTGCACGCTGTTGTGGGCGCAGGACCTTCTTCATGGATTCTGTGGATCATACTTGGTGATTAGTCGTCGCAATGCCTCTAGGCCAAAGCGCTGACCTCTGGAGGTATTCTTGACGATCTCGAGGGCTTCTCCCTCGCACAGTGAGATCAGAGCCTGTCGGGCCTGAGCTGAAACAAGCTCGGCTCCTTCAGAGTAATCATCTTCCAGAGATGTCTCATTGATCTCTGTGTCTTGGTGCTCTTCGAGGAGCTGAATGCACTTTCCTGCATTCTTGTGACTTGTCTCAATCCAAGTCTTGAACTTGAAGTACCATGAGTCCCAGGTACCTGTGTGCCCATTGAACTTGTCAGGCTTTGGGATGCCTTTAAATTCTGATCTGTCTCGTACTTCTACACTGGCTGCTATGTTCCTTGTGATTGCCGTTTGCTGGGTGTATGCTTCTGCCATTGCTCGTTGCAATTGATTCTGCCCTTGTGCCAGCGCTTGCATCATTTGTGCAAATTGCTGCGCCATGTCTGTAGCTCGTTGTGCCTGTGCCCCTGGCTGTTGCGCCATGTTGACTTGCTAGCCAGGGATTGAAGCAATCCGGCTTTCCTGCAAGTGATGTTTGTACAAGCCTCTCTGTTCTCGAAGTAAGCCCAATCGATTCGTTTCCAATATGTTTGTCGAAGGTCTTTTCGCTTAAAACATGCTGTTGGAAATCAATTTCCTTTATTGCAAAAATTTCATTTTGCAGCCGCATCTGCGCGTTACACACGTTTTTCCCTTGCAACAACATGTTTCTTTCATGTTGTTTGCTCGGCGAGGGCCTCGCCCTGTATCTGTATCATGATCTATCCTTACTTTATGCTGTGAAATCACTTCCGCAATTCCATTTCTCGTCTCTTTCAGGCCTTTGCTTCTACAAAAAGTTTTGCCACGTGCAATATTGAATCTTCGTCCTTTATGGGAAACACCTCCATACGTGTCAGAAACCACTGTGTTGTTGCATCGTTAACTTAGTTCAAGGTTTTAAAAAAGAGATCTGTTCAGATGTGTTGCGAGGAGTTGATTCTGCGCCACATAAACTTGAGAAATTCTATGCACTGCTTTCGCACCCGCGCTACATCACTGACTGAGTAGGTTGGAAGAAACCAAGCGTATGCAATGCCTCTGTAGCTGAAGCACGCTAAATAGAATTATGATCAAACTTCGGAAAAGTTGCTGAACTGGCTTGGCTGCTTTGAATTTCCCGGCTTTACTTCGATTCTGTTATATATATATAAATAGATATGTGTGTATGTATTTATATAGTGATTGCCACACGTGGCATGGCAGGGGTTTTCTTTCATCAAATCGCGAGGAAAGCCTGAAGGGATATGAGCTGCGCCCTCACACGTGACATGGCATCGTTGCGCACCTCCCCTGAAGGCTGGCTGCGGTTCTTGTCTGGTGAGACAAGGGGAGCACAAGCGATGGAAGCAATGGGTGAAGATCAAAAAACTACACAGGACAAGTTGCCTAGCCTACATCTACTCCCTGTTGCAAGGAAAGCTCTGGAAGCAGCTGAGCACCTGGATCCCTTGTGGGCTTTGCTGGATCGTTTTTCCTCCGGCTGAGTCGCGCAAGATCTCGGGAAGTTTCTACATGGAATCTATGAAATTGGGCCGCAAGGGCATCTGAGGTGTTCGATCGCAGCCATTCGGAAACTGGAGCACCCTTCCCCCATGAGGCCCGGGGATGGATCCGACCTTACCAAGCCGGACTACATGATGAACGATGGCGATTGCCCGCGCAAGGGGCGATGTCGCTGCTCCAAAGACATGAAGAATCGACAAGGAAAGGAGGGCGAGAAGTCCTCCAGCGCTTCGGTGTTGCCGACAACATTATGGCTTGATTTGGTTCACGCTCGAGTTTTGCACTCCGGCGCGTCCGTGCTATTGTTGCCCCTTTAAAGAGTTTGGAAAAGCTTTGAGCCCCGCGTGGGCGGTTTCGTCCCAACGTATTCTAGAGGGGCGCGCCACGCAATTCAATTGGACACGGCGAGGTCATCATCAAGGAGATGGCCGCCTGTTGATGAGCCGATCAGCCATGAAGTCAGCCATGAAGACCTTTGGTGCCTTCTTGGATTTTTGGAGTGGCTGTCTTCAATCTTCATGGGTTGGAAAGCATATCAAGACCAACAATGTCGTCCTCCCTTCACTGGAGCCAAGAGTTGTCAGGCAGGAATGCCGTCCAAGTCATCTGCTGCGTGGTCGCAGGAGAATTGCGACCTGGTTCGACTCCGCGGTTGTCAGAGGAGGCCCTCCTGGAAAATACAAGTGTTGCTGCTTCGTTTTGGATGCGCTCATGATCGAACCGAGTTTTCTATGAGAGACTTGAAATTCTTACGCGTCAATGTTGTCAGACTCACAAACAGTGTGTCCGGCCATGCGTGAAAAGAAACTTCAGACTCCCCGCGCTTGGTCGTGGAGGCGTTCTCTCCACCTCGGTTTGCTCTGCTTGCGCAGAAGCATGGGTCTCGGGCTAAGCCCTATGGTTCTATGATCTAAAAACAGGACTCGTCGGACAGGACGCAAGTGGAACAAGTGCTGGTGAAGGATCGCCAGAAGTACTGATCTTGCACCCGCCTTGACATCCGACAGTGTGAATGAACAACTTCAAAATGTAGGCAGGTCAAGGCCGTCGAGTCGTGCTCAAAGACCGCCCTGGATCCCAGCCGTGGACTAATATCCAGAGATGTTGTTCGTGATGCGCGCGGGGGAACATGCACGTCAGACCACCAAAAGCAAGACTTCCGCAACAGAAAGCCAGCCTGGCTAACGTGCACGCGGACGCCGCCATGTGAGCTTTGTTGATCATATTTCGGGCGGCGGGCCTTCTTAGGGCAAACTTAATTTTAGGCTCTGACGACACTGGCGCAACGCCAGCCCATGTGCTTGCGCAACCCTAAAAGCGCCCAGAATGCAAACTGCCCTGGCTCTGACCCAGCGCCTTGCGCTCATGGTAGGGTACACAAGCAGGAAGGGCAACCCAGAAAAACTTTCTCGACAGGCAAGGACCATCTCCATTTGGGTAGCCTTAAGAGTCTGTCAGGCTGCTCTGGGGACTGGGGGCGTGCCTCCGCTCAACACACCGGAAGAAAGATCATATATGTGACACGATAGTAGTGTCAGGAATCAGACCTGTGGTTCTGAAGTCGCCTTTGACACACCCTCAAAGAGCCCTTGCGTTGAGAAGGTTTTGCGCAAAGTTGCCTCATTGATCAAGGTTTGCTTGTGCGACTAATTCTCTTTGTTGTTACCCTGCAGCAGGCTCTATTTCCTGGGTCAGGTGTATTGCAGTGTTACATTGCAAGAAGAGAAGGAGCTCGGGCAAATTGCCGAGACAACCAAAACAAACATCAAAAGCAACTTTGTCACATGCATGTATGCACGTTGCGATTTGCGCGGTCTGTTCTCTGCTCATTTTTCTATCCTTATACAAGCTGCGACGCTTCCGTCTCTGAAAAACTAGCAAAGAAATACGAGTCATCGTGGCGCAATCGCCATACATCCAAACCCTCCAACTGCCCACCAGTATCATGGCGCTCAGGAAAAGAAACAAGAACAATGACCGCGACAAAAACAAAAGAACGCCTACCTTGACTCCTATGAGGGATACCGCCGCTCACGGGGTCGGGTTATGTCACATAAGTGGGTGTGAAGTAGCGTCACTGCGTGGCCACGTGTGGAAGGGTGAAATCATGTGAAATCACATCAGCGCATGTGAAGTCACATCATGTTGTCTCAATCGCCATGGCTACGTGGTAACAACCTGTGTTTGGAGTTTGGCTGGTTTGGAGTCCGCGCCTGTGAATTTCAGGGGTTTCTTAAACTTGGAGCACACAAAAATGGACTACTCATCAGAATTCTTTCCATATGGCCACGCGATTTTGAAGATGGTGCTAGGGTGGTAGTGTTGGGATGTAAAAAACCCCATGGCCACACGCATCCACTCAACCACTGTAAGCTCTTTGAGCTTTCCAGCGAATCGCATCGTGGGAAAAGGGCGGCGTAGGGTCTTAGAGTTTCTCCTCTGGGTTCCTGCAAAGCAGTCTTTTGCTCGATTCCTTGAATTCCTTTGGGACGTGCGCTGCCCACGGTCGCATACTCAGGTATCATTGACCCTTTTTCTCAGGCCATCCTCCTTCTCTCCTGGCAGACCAATATGGCCAAAGGGCGCGATCTTTGTTGGACCGCCTGGCCCAGCAACAAGGAGCGCAAAGACCAGATCGTGTAAGGATCTCCCCCTTGCTTTTTACTCGGGTGTGCGGCTGATGGCCTGGAGCACGTGACTTCCGGCCTCGGCAGCCTTTGCAAGAAGGTGCCTCTTTGGCTTGACTGGGATTGTTGACTCCTGAGGTACATCTCTGTATTCACCAGCTCTGAAAGGCTGGCCTTCTCAAACAGGCAGGCGCTTGATGCATTTGTTCACGCACGCCCTGTCGCAAACGGTGTCTTCAACCAAAGACATGAGCCAAATAAACAACGGAATGGCAAGCTTCCCAAGAGATTCTCACAGATTCCGCACAACCACTCTGACATGTACCGTAAGAACAAGTCTGCTACAAGTAGAATGCCTGAGTAGGTACAGTATTTGCAGCAGGCACTTGCTTGGGGTTTTCTGTTTTTCATTAAGCCTCCTTTGGTTCCCAATGTGGGGGCATGATGTTGTGCAAGCAGTAAAAAATCAGTAGATTTGCTTTAGTGAAGTGCCTTTGATCCCCAAGGGACACGGTCGCGATGCGACATTACACAAGTTGATGCGACTTAAGCCTACCCCAGCACTGGTAATTCGTGCGGGTACCGGTGCAAGCACGGGTACTTCCACCACCACTACTACTGTGACCACTCTGACATGTGAATTGTGTTGCCCATCCCATCTGAGCAATGTGGCGATTGATATTTGGACCGCCGCGGTGCAGGAGTGCTCTTCAGCTTGCTTGCTCTTCTTGCTCCTCTACCTCTTCTGGCATCTCCTCAACCGTAGCCTCTTCAGCATATTCTTCGCCTCAATGTCTTTGCAATCGACTCCAGAACTGCACATCTTCGCAAATATATACTGCAACTCAAAGCAAGCAATGTCTTAGTCTTCGTACACGCCTTCTGGATTTTCTGCTCCTTCTTCTTCTTCGTTTCCCTTTCTAGGAGCTTTTGGCTTCCCACTCACCTAGAATTGCTTCGATTCCAAGCTCAAAACAGCAAAGCTGCCGTGCAATTCTCTGTCTCAACTGTTGGTTGCGATCATTTGCAGTTGGTGCGCCTTCCCGCTGATAGCTGCGAAAACTGCTCCCTGAGGAAGGCGTGGAATGGGTGGCCAAAGTTCGATGTAGTTGGACCACCGCACTCTGGTGGTGACTAATGAGTACAGTAACTAGTGGCAAGTTCCCACACTGAGGGAGTGACCAGAACTGCTAAATGAAGGGCGAATGCAATGCCCACCATGGTCGTTTTGGCCACTCCTCCAAAAGACGCAATTCAATACAACCCTGCTTGTGGCATGCTCAGCTGATCTGCAAAGTAGCTGAAAGCAGTTGACGGGGCCGGAAACCTCAAACTGCTCATTGATGCCGACTCTTCAACATGTTTTGACACGGACCCGTGGCTGTCTTGCATTGAATGGTAAATCAACGTAAAACACCATGAAGTCCCCGTCCCATTCCAGAATGATTTCTCTTGACAAGGTCTTCACGAAAAATGGGGTGGGAGATGGTGGGAGTGGGCAAAGAAAAGTGATAGTTCTGGCAACTGACACTTGAGTATTCCTGGTGGAACTGTTGGAGTCTCTGGTGCTTCACCAGCTTCTCCGGCATCGCCCTGTTCGCCCTGAGCACCTCAAGCTGAAACATGCATTCAAGGTTCACGCATATAAATGTTATGACACCTTTCATAAATGTATTGACTCGAATACCGCGTCTTCAAAGGCTGCGAGACTTACCGCAATTCAATTGCTCAGCTAATTGTATATATATATATATTATGTATATATATATATATAACTACATCGTCAGAACTCAGATTCTCAGGCTGTGGCCTTTGTCCCCTTGCTGTCCTTTGGGGCCAGGCGGCCCAGGTTGGCCAGGGTCACCTTGTGAAAGAGGCTTGGAGGACACCGCAAAGCCATGGTAGAAACACTTGGGGGTGTTAGAGCATGTTTTGTCCTTGTGTTTGTTGAACTTGGGTGAAGATCAACAACAGGCTAAATGTCACAATGTCACTGAAAGCGGCGTGCTGCTCACTGCTCGATTTCAACCCCATGCCTCTATCTCCGCTATCCCCCTGAGGCCTGCCAGGAGCTTTTAATCGAATGCGTGAGATATGATATGCAATATGCAAAACATGTGCAAATTTATTCGAACCAACTCTCCACGTTTGCAGTGCTCAGATTCTTGCCCAGCTGGTCCTACGGCTTGCGAGCTCCTAGCAGGAATGAACACAAGTGAACGAAGGTCTAGTGACCCAAACAGGTCCTGGTTCTCCCAACCACGCCACCATCTCAGCAAACAAAACAAATCGCGGACAGCATCTAAAAATTGGGCACCACGGGCATCTGAGGAGCACACACCCAACTTCAATGCTTTTCAAACCAACAAATTCAGCCTGTCCATATCGGCCGACGGCAACAAACACCACACAGTTTGCGAGTGCAAAGCGGTGGTGTTGCATGGCGGTGGGTGGTGGGCCATTGTGGTGTGGTTGGTCGTGTGTGGTGCATATAGTGTGTGCAGGCACATGTATGTCTGCGCACGTGAATCACAGGATCGTTTTTACAATCAATTTGCCAGGAGGGCTGTGATCCTTTCAGCAGAGATTGCACAACAAAAACAATGCTGATGTAACGTGGTCTTATTTACGTACTCGCTGTTCTGGAGAACTGTTGCGGGCATTATCGAGTCCTTTTTCGTTTCTGTTTTTGTCCGTTCGTTTCAATCCTTGTTTTGGCTGTTTCCGCAGGGAGACTAAAACAGGAAGGCGTAAGAGCGTAAAAAAGGCGCCGCTTCTGCAGGGAAACAAACACCAACTTAAAAACAGTCAGTGCCACGCATCACAAGAAACACATTAAGTACAATACAGAGAGGGTAAACGAGAAACAGTCCAGAAGACACGCTTTCCTGAAAGTAAAACAAAACAAAGAAAAAGGGTGAAACCATGACTGCCTCACTCACTTTCAGCACGTGACCAAGTGGAAATCAAAATAATCAATTTTTCAGTGGTCAAAACTTGGTAAAGAGTTGGCTGTCCAAAGCTGGCAATCGAGTTGAGACACCACAGCAAGGCAGTTTGGCAAAACAAGGACACCTGATGCCTGGAAAGGTAGCATTTTCCGAATATTGGTGGTCACATTTCAAGCAGGGATATCCTGATACCTGAACCTGCCCAACTAAGGCAGATCCTACCAGGTCCCACAGCCCATACCCTTCCCTGGCAACTAACCAGGGTCGGGTGGGTGGGGAAAAAGCAAAGGCATGCCGGGATCAGCACTTGAGCCAAAATTGATCGAGCTCAAGTAGTGATCCCTTCCTCCAATGTGTCTCCCTAAAATTTCCTTCCACCATGAAATGGTTCCAAGAAATCCGGTTCAACACATCGACCTCCCACCCTTCCTCCCTTAAATTGGATTCGCAAGCATTTTCCGAATATTGGTGGTCACATTTCAAGCAGGGATTTCCAACATGTGGGAAAGTGCAGAGGTTTTTTCCCGAGAGCGTCTGCGAAGGGTTCTTCGTATCTTCAGTTCTGTACAATCACGTTGTCACCTCTATCTCTGCTCATCTTCACATCTGCACATCCTCGTATCTACATCTCTGCTCATCTTCACATCCTCATATCTACATCTCACATCCTCACCTCTCGCTCTTCTTAACTTTCTCTCTTAAGGCCGGGGGCAGTGCCGCCGGACCGCCACGAAACGCAGCCCTCTGCGGAGATCGCGCGTGTCGAGTGCGCGAAATGCAGGCGAGAGTGCGATTTGTCTCTGCCGTGGGCAACCCTCTGCGGAGATCGTGCGTGTCGAGTGCGTGAAATGCAGGCGAGAGTGCGATTTGTCTCTGGCGCAGGCAACCCTCTGCTGCGGAGATCCTGCATGTCGGATGCGGGAAATGCAGGCGAGAGTGCGATTTGGTTTTGTCCGGCGCAACCCTCTGCGGAGATCGTGCGTGTCGAGTGCGCGAAACGCAGGCGAGAGTGCGATTTGACCCGGTCCGGCGCAACCCTCTGCGGAGATCGTGCGTGTCGAGTGCGCGAAATGCAGGCGAGAGTGCGATTTGCGTCTGTCCGGCGCAACCCTCTGCGGAGATCGTGCGTGTCGAGTGCCCGGAAATGCAGGCGAGAGTGCGATTGGGGAGCTGGAAGATGAGAACTGGCGACTTTCTAGTACAACTTTAGTGCGCGGAGTATCTGGGGAGCTGGAAGATGAGAACTGGCGACTTTGTAGTACAACTTTAGTGCGCGGAGTATCTGGGGAGCTGGAAGATGAGAACTGGTGATTGTCTAGTAGAACTTTAGTACGTGGAGTCTCTGGGGAGCTGGAAGATGAGAACTGGCGACTTTGTAGTACAACTTTAGTACGCGGAGCAAGCTGTGGAGCTGGAAGCTGAGAACTGACGACTTTGTAATACAACTTGAGTGCGCGGAGTATGTGGGGAGCTGGAAGATGAGAACTGGCGACTTTCTAGTACAACTTTAGTACGCGGAGTATCTGGCGAGCTGGAAGATGAGAACTGGCGACGTTGTAGAACAACTTTAGTACGCGGAGCAAGCGGTGGAACTGGAAGCTGAGAACTGACGACTTGAGTGCGCGGATGAGTCATCTCTCGCGGCTGCTCTGGCGCCCCTGCAGCTGAGTCATGTGTCCCGACCACCCGACAAATTTTAGCTACTTTGCTTACTCATAAGTGCGATGTGGTTTTGGCCCGGTCCGGGGCAATCCTCTGAGAAGCTGGTGCGCGTCGAGGGCGCGAAATGCAGACGAGAATGCGTTGTGGATTGGTCGCGCTCCACTTTTGGAGGAAGTGTCGCGCGCAACGCTCGTTTTGGAGACTTGGCGCTTCATTGTTGGAGGAACTCTTGTAGCAAACGTTGGTCTTGGAGAATTAGTGCTTCATTTGTGGAGGAAGTCTCGTACGAAACACCGCAGATCTCCCTCTTAACCCCCCACACTCCCAGCATTGCGTCCTTGGCGCAATCGACCCTATGTCTTGGAAGCGTTGTGGCACCTGGAAGGTTTGCGCGCGGAATGGCAGAGAGACTTCAGCGCAGCACACCGAAACTAGTTCGTGTCGCGGGTCCTCCGTCGAGACTGTTCGGGACGAAACTGCGACGTCATCGCTTAGACGACGGGATCCGCAACTGCCGGAAAAAGGGACGTGACGTTGATATGTGTCTACTACTTCACCTGCGCGACAATCGATGCACAGTTGGAACGCAGGAGTCAAAACGAGCGTTTCGTACGAGACTTCCTCCAAAAGTCACATGTCAAGTCCCCAAAACGAGCGTTTCGTACGAGACTTCCTCAAAAACTCACATGTCAAAGTCTGCAAAACGAACGTTTCGCACGAGACTTCCTCCAAAAGTCCAGCGGAAACACCCATCGGAGCACACACATCACGCAGCCCTGCCAAGCAGTTTCGCGATTCCAGCCCCTGCAAACGACACCCGCTCACACGCCAATCCCAATGTGACAGCGACATTCACCTCTGCCACAACTCACAACCTCCCGATTCCCTACGCCTGCCACGAATCTTTCCGCGGCCACACGTCTAACGCGCACAAAGTACTGCGCCTGCCACGAAATGTCACCTCCGTCACACATCGCAACCTCACGATTCCCTGCGCCTGCCACGAAAATCGCACTTCCACACCTCAAAACCCGCACAAAGTCCTGTGCCTGCCACGAAAAGTAACAATGTCTAATGTCATCTCATGTGAGCTTCAACAAAATTTGCACCACACCACACGTTTGGAATGATTTCGACCCGTTCTGAGCACACTCCCATCCACCAAAATCGGCATTTCAGCTGAGACTTGTCACGAAAACAGAGCTTCGATGCCACACCCTGAAACGCAAATCCCAATGGCACGGCCACACCCAACACCCCAAAAACACGACTCTCCAAACGCTAATCCCAATGGAACTGCGCAGCAGTCTGCAGATCTCACCAAACGCTGCGCCTGTGCAGCAAGACGCATCACGTTGCTTGCGCGACATGTCTTTTTCATGCAAATCACAATGGACTCGCGGCGCAAACTGACACGTGACACATCCATGCCTGGTCACTTGCAAAAGCTTCCCCCAGTGGCAGCGCCTTAGCGCTCTACTGTGGACGGTTGCGGACGGTTGCGAACGGTTGCGGACGGTTGCGAACATAGAAGCAACGGGTCGCGAACAAGGCTCTACCCCCAGACCCCCAAGAGTTAAACGAGAACCCTTCGCTATGCATTCGGGAAAAAACTGTGTTTTACAGGGTTTATTGCGCATATCGAAGTACGACGCGGCGAAGATGGAGAAATGCAAAAGCGCTGGGTTTTTCAAGGGTGGCGTCGGTAATGCGCGCCGGGCGGACAGGCATAATCGACATTTCGTGGGTAGAGGCCTCCAGGCGACTTAAATTGCCAAACATATCTTCAACATAGGCCCAAGATAGCCAACATATCCCCAACATATGCCCAACATAGCCTCCAAGATGGCTCAACTTAGGGCCAACATAGGCCAACATGGGGCCCACATGCGCCAACTTAGGCCCAACATAGGCCCAACCTAGGCCAACGTATGCCAACACAGGCCTAACATAGGCTAACATAGGCCCAACATAGGCTCAACATGGGCTCAAGATGTGCCCAACATAGACCACATGGGCCCAACTTGGCCCAACCTAGGGCCAAGATGCGCGACAGATAGATTCACTTTGCTCAATATGAGCTCCACTAAGGCCAACATAGGCGTGATATACGCCCCACAGAGACCACTATAAGCCAACCGCGGCCCTACCCTTTAATTCTCAATCTTTGCCTCCAGCCCCTTTTGCCGAAGTCTGCTTGCGCCGATTCCACGGAGCATCTGCAAACTTCTGGGACTTGGCCTCTTTCTCCAAACTGCTTCTCCCTCTGCCTCTTTCGAGCTGCCTTGAATTGACCCTGACCTGGCGGTCTATTTGCTGCGGCGGATGAGGAGGCATCGTGGCATCCCCATACGTTGACTCTTCGGCCTCACGCCTAGACATGGGTTTTCCTCCGCGAGCGATGAAGGTTTGGGCTGGGCGAATCACTGCACGATCCCGGTATACTCTTGGTTCCTGGCAGCGGACACCAACCCATGGTCGATCCTCTTCATACGTCAAGTTCATAGGCAGGCGCCCTTCCACACGAGCACGTGTCAACCCCCTTCTGAATCTCACCCCGGCAGCGATCCTCCGCCTGAAGCAACAAATGCCAAGCTTCAGGAAACTCTGCATTGAGGTCTGAGATCCTGGTGACATACTCCTCCAAGGCCGCCGCAGTCATGATGGGGCGCTCTGGTGTCCCTGTGGTCGTGTTGGCTGGGCGCTTGATCATCAACAAGATGGTGCGGTAAACCCGCCAACGCTGTTGCCATGCCTCAAACG